CACAACCCCAGCCCTTTAAAAAAATTTTAAAAAATATTTTTTGTAGATGTCAATGGACCTTTATTTTTATTTTATTTATTTATGTGATTCTGAGAATAGAACCCAGTGCCTCACAACGCTAGGCAAGTGCTCTACCATTCACTGTCGAGCTCTCTTACCTCTTTGGTTGGATTTACTCCTAGGTACTTTCCCTTCAGTTCAGTACATTAAAAAAAAATTCAATACCAAATACTAAGACACAAACAACACAACTTACAAATGGACAAAATATTCAAATAGCTATTTTTCCAAATAAGGTAGAAAGATGGTAAATAAGCACGTGAGAAGATGTTCTACATTGTTATTTAAGGAAATGCAAATTAAGGCTACCATGAGATACAATTGTACCTATCAGAAAGGCTAAAATTTAAAAGGCTGGGTTGGAAGGAATGTGCATAAATGGAACTTTCATTTATTGCTGGTGAGAAAGTAAAAATGATATAATGATTTTTTTTTAAATATTTTTTTAGTTGATGATGGACCTCTATTTTTTATTTATTTATATGCGGTGCTGAGAATCAAACCCAGTGCCTCACATATGCTAGGCAGGCGCTCTACCACTGAGCTACAACCTCAGCTCTGATATAACCATTTTGAAAAATAGTTTAACAGAATTTTTTGTTAAAGTTAAAAGAACATTTACCATAGGACTCAACCATTCCACTCCTATGTATTTACCCAAGAGAAAAGAAAGCATATGCCCATACAAAGACTTCATAAAAGTCCACAGGAGTCCAGAACTGGAACTGACCATCAGGCCAATGTCAGTCATCAGGCAAAGGGAAAAACAAATTGGTCCATCTAATAGAGTGGGATACCCCTCCACAGTAAAAACAAACTGCTGACACGTATTACAACATGAGTGAATCTCAAAATAACTGTTGAGTACAAGAAGCCAGAAAAAAACAAGGGTATATACTGTATATATATGGCTCCATGTATTTCAAGGAGAAGCTTGAGTGTGGGTAGGTGCGCAAGATTCCTGATTGGTCTGAGGAAACTTTGGGACTGATGAATAAAATAAGTTCACTATCCTGATTGTGATGATAGCTTCATGTGAGTGAATGCATGTCCAGACTTAATTCACATATTTTAAATTTTGTGGATTATGACTCAGTGAAGGTGGATGAAAAATAGGAAGAGGGCAGGCAAAAGTTCTCCATTCTTTCATCCTTCCTTCCCTATTCATCCATTCTTTATTTGTTTATTTGTTTCTTGTTTTGGTTTGGATGAGGTGTTCCCCAAAAGCTCATATGTGAGATAATGCAAGAAGGCTTGGAGGTGAAACGATTGAGTTATGCCAGCCTTAACCCATTACTGAGTTAATCCCCTAATGGGGATTAGCTGAGTTGTAACTGAAGGCAAGGAGGGTGTGGCTAGAAGAAATGTGTCATTGGGAACATGCCTTTGGGGTATAGATTTTATTTCTGATGAGTGGAAGTGCTCTCTCTCTCTCTCCTTCCTGATCATTGTGGAAGCTGCTTCCATCCACCGCACACTGCCACCATGATGTTCTGCTATCTGGAGCCCTGAAGAATGGAGCCAGTTGTCTATGGAATGACTCTAAAACTGTGAATCCCAAATAAACTTTTCCTCCTTAAAATTGTTCTTGTCAAGTATTTTTGTCACAGCAGCAAGAAATCTGACTAAAACATTAATTTATTTCCAACTCCTGGAGTTACTGTTTCTTATTTATTAAAATGGTAAAATAAAAAAAAATCTATTTTCTACAACAGCAACAAATCTTTACATTTAAATATACATGTGTCACTCTCATTTTAAGAAAGAATAGGAATATACTTAAAGTACTTGAAATATTCATTTAAAGCACAATGATATTGATAGCCTTGATTCAGAAAAGATGTAAAACTTTGCTCATTAAAGAGAAGAATTTTCTAAAAGCCATCTTAAAATATTAAAATTTAGAGACATCAGAAATATGACCAAATAAGTGTTTCCTGCAAAACTAATAAATAGTATGTTATGCTGAGTGCTAAAGAAAGAGCAGAATTTATGATTTCACACAAGGCATAGTTTACCTTCCTGATTTATACAATCTTTTTATAGTCTTTTTAGCTACTTTAAAAGTAATTTTGTAAGGCTGCATTTCTATATAGTATGCTATGAAAATGACCTTGCAAATTATAAACCAAAAAGTGCTTTTGTATCTTTAGCACTTAAAATAACGATTCTTTAATGAAGTTATTACCAGACAACAACTTGAAAGCTAAATGGTTTATGAAGTTTTATTATAGGCCTTTTTTTTTTTTTTTGCACAACAAGAGACCTTCTTCATACATATTCTAGCTGACAGATTCATACCCACATTCCTTGTTGTGGGATGTGCCACTAGACATAACCAATGTCATTATGTGCTTTACATGGCTCATTTCTATGTGCCAGAATTCTCAGGTGCAGTTCAGGAAGAACAATCCTGATCCTGTTCAGGCCAAACTTCCTTGCAATAGAATTTTTATTTCCTAAACAGTTTCAAATGAGATGATTTATATGCACTAGCTGTTTTCTGTCAGAAGATGTTAAAATGGAGCAAAGGTAACAGTTTACATAGCCCAAAGGAACAGGGTTGAAATACATAGGGACCACATGGCACTTGAGAAGTGGATCTGAGTTTACTCACTGGGTTACCCTATAAGGTTCCTATGTGTGGAGTGAACATATATACTCTTTGATCTCAACATCTGAAAGCTCCTTGAGCCTCCCTCAGTCTCAACTTCTTAATTTCTAAATTGATAATAGTAATAATAAAGAAGAAAAGTCTCCATATGATAGTGATGTCTCTGGACCCCACCCTCCCATGCTGCTATAAGGATCCAGGGGCAGAGCTCAATCACTTGGCAGTGAGAAAATAAAGAACCATCCTAGCAGTTCAGTGGTGCCTTGGAGGTAGAATGTGTTTAAATCCACATGGTGGTCAAGAAGTCACCATATAACAAAAAGGATTTTGTCCTTCATCTCAATCTTCACTATCAAAACTCAAAATAATTATTTAAAAGAGGCAATCACAACCTTCCTGTAGTTGGGTGCCTCATGGTACCCAGCAGAATCTCTTCCTTTGAGCTCTATTTCTACAAGTTCCAAGACTTTGAAAGGCCTGTGTGGTGGAAGGAGGCTGCAGTCACTGTGGATGTGCTCTGACCTTGAGGTCTCTAATCCTAATTCCCTCCAGATCAATGTATTCTTTTAGAAATGTAAAAAGATTGAAAGTAAAGCAGAACCAGCCCCAGGGCTCTCAACCACGCCAACTGTAAATTGGAAAGGGATGGGTTCTGAACTCCAGGAAGCTAACTGGGAGCCCTAGGCAAAAATCCTGAATGTGGTAATTGGCACCTTGACCTTTTCATGCTGGCCCTGAGAAGGCTACCTCTAGGATGCTCACTTATAAGCACCACGATAGTGTTCATATGATATGGGTGAGGGTCACTCTTTCTTTGGGCAACAAAATCATAAATAGCTGTACGAAATAAAATAAAAAATTCATTGTTAGATTTTCTTTTTCTAGCAAAAAAAAAAGCAATATAAGATTAAATTATCACTAGAATTAGAATACAAAATTTTAATTGAAACCATTTACCAATCCTATTTGGTTTCCCTGGACTTATATTCCTCCAACAAAAGCTCCCTTTCTGAAAATTATTATGGATTTGGGAGCCATGTCCAGTTTGTCTGGGGCCACAACAATTGAAATAACACTGAAGAAGAGAGATGTTCATGTTTTATGAACTATAATAACTGTGCAAATATGAGGTTCTGGGTGTGCATGAGAAAATTGATTGCTTTAAGATGGTGATGCTGGGGCATAATAGAGGGAGTAATAGATAAGAACCACCAAATCCTAAAGAAACAGAAAATAAAAGAGCCAAGTCCCCTGGCACAGAGGAGCCCATTTGAATGCTGTCAATTCTAAAATAGCTATAGTTTCATATATGTCTAGGTACTTGACCAATCATTTTCACCTTCTAAATATCTTATTTGAGGTAGGTCATTTAAGTTGCATTATCCTTATTCTATAGATGAAAAATGAGGCTCGGAAAGTTTAAAGAATTTGGCCATTGTTACAGGCTCGCAGGTAGCAACTATGGGTCTTTTGAACTTTGGGTCTTTTGAGTATGACTCCAAGTCTTTTGAATCCTAGTTCTGTGACTTTTTTTTTAAAAAACCACATCCCCTCTACCCTAGAACTGAAAGGATTGTTCCAGAAATGTCCCTGGGTGGAGTCTTGAGGGTTCTCAATTGAATCAAGAAAGCCTAAGGAAAATATAGATAACCTGCTTTTTTTTTTAAAGGAAATTCTCAAACATATAAAAGTAGAATGAACCTCTGTGTACCTGTCACCCAGGGGGCTTCTTAACAATCTCCTCAATGTCAACAAAGTCAGGGGAGGGACACGGTGATGCTTAGGTAGGAAGGATCCAGCTTTCCCAGGGAGGGAATCACAGAGCTCATGGAGGAAAAGAAGAAAGGCTTCAAGGGTCAAAGCTGGGCTTGCTGTCAGCTGGCTCGAAAGACAAAGAAACCGGATATTTCTGGAAGAGTCTGTGCTAGCTAAACCAAAGAATGATGTGCAGGATCTATATTATGCCTGCATTCCAGGATGACCTAATACATAAACAAATACTTCAAAATATCCCAGGATGCCTATAATGTCATAGGGCCACAGAGAGCAGTGTGGCATTTATTTCATGTTAAAATGAGAAGAAAGGCCACAGCACATCCACCTAACTTTCCTAGGGCCCCAAGGGCATCCCTGAGCTGCTACTCTTCCCCATTTTACTTGTCTTCTACTTGGGAAAGAACATTCCATGTTTTATGTAAAAAAAAAATATTTACTAGTAAAATGTGAACTATAGCCACAAAACCTCACTAGTAATCAAATTATACTTTCATTAGCCATACGGCCTTTTTATTTAAGAAAACATAACCATACAAAAATTATTTCTTACCGTTAATTTTTTTGATTGTGTCTCTGACAATGAACTTCCAGATATCATGCTGAAATAAAGAATTTAGAATTACAAAATTATATTTCAGGCAGACACACACACACACACACACACACACACCTCACACCTAATAGATCTTTAAACTCTAACACGTGAGATAAAATTTTAAAGTGTTTCCTCCAAATGTCAATTTCTGGACATTTCAAGAGGAAATAAAAATAATGGAATGTAAACTTTACTTGCAGAAGATAAAATAGCCTTTAAAGGCTCTCTTGAGAATAAGCAGTCTGAACAGAACAATCTGTTCTGAAAACCTGCAGAATCTCTTATTTCAACTTAAAAAAAAAAGTGGAGGGAGAAAAGCTTATCCTTCTATCAAACAGCATATTTAGGGAGTTCTTTTTCTCTCTGTCTCTATCTCTCTCCTTCTCTCTCCCTCTCCTTTCTTTTCCATCTCATCCTCCTGAATTATTTGCATACGAACGTAATATTTATTGAAACTTGAATTCTCTTGCTCCTTTAGTTTCTCTTGATTACTCTGATCCCCTTCTGACAAAACCACATTTTCACGAGTTCCAAATCCTTTCCTTCTGTGTTTTTGCTAAAGCCACCCAATCAGATGCTCACTTGTACCACTCCACAGAAACTGCACTTAGCAAATTCACCAAAGAGCTCTTCTGCTCTACCATATCCACTGGACTTTTGTCACAATTCAATTTACTTAACAGCTTTTGAGAGGATTCATCTGTCCTCTTTGAAATACTGTTTTCACTTGTCTTCCAGAGCATCCTGAGGTCCTAGGAATACTTTCTTCACATCTATCCAGCTCAATTATTCCTACTTCCTTCCTTTCTCTGCTCGGAAATCACCTTTGTGGGACCTACCATATGCATCATATTTAAAATCGAACCCTTTACCTCATCATCTTACTTGATTTTTCTCTGCCTGTTACTGATTTCTAACATACTACTACAGAGGTTGCTTATTTGTTGTACTTATTGTGTCTCCTCCCAACTGAAAAGGTAAACCTCCTTGAACACAGTGTATTTTTTCCTCTGATTTTTATCATTGTATCCTTAGCATCTTGAAGAAGGATGGGATGGCCAATAAATATTTGTTAAATCATTTAATAAAGCTCATAGATTTTAGTAAATTACACTCTGTTGTTACCAACCAATAAGCCTTTAACATTCCTAGGTATTTCTATACCACAGTTTCTCTAATCAATATATTGCTCTATTTCCATATTTCTGTGCATATGTCTCTCTTTACCCACTTTTTAATACATTTAGAGCCACTGACAATATTCACAAGATAATCAATGGCTACTGAGCAAAATTAATTAATTTCTCACTTAGTGAAAGGAAACACTTGTTTCTGAGAGACATAATAGCTTTTCTTACATCATATCAAAATCAGCTTTGACAGTACCTCTCTGTCACAAAATGGAAAACAATTTTTGGGTCATCACAATTGCTTTGAATATAAACAAACAGCTTTGAAAAACCTTAATAAACCAGGCCCCCCTTACCTTTGAACTAATTTTGTCTTCTATCAGTGCACCTCACAAAACTGACATTTCCACCAAGCTGTGCTAACTCATGGTTCCAGAGTACATGTTTGTCCTTTTCTGAAGTCATTTCCTCTGAATAGAATGTGCATGCCCTCTTCTCTGCTTGTTGAAATCTTCCCATTTTTTCCACATCATATCTCAATGCTCCCTCTTCCTGCAGCTTCTTTGACCCTGCTGGTCAGAAGTGCTACTTGCCTCTGTATTGCACAAATTTTTTTTGGACATCTTCTCTTCTTGCCCTTTTTAATGTTTTGTGATATACATAATAATAATTTGTCTACCATGTTTTTGCATTTCTCAGTGACTCTCTTATACAGAATGAGGACTATGCTTTGTTTATTTTTTACCCATCCAATGACATTCCAAACAAGATATGAACATTCAGTCACTAAATGAAGCCAAACAAAACAAAACATTGTGAGTATAACACTCTTAGGTGCATTTCACCAAGGCCATAAGTGCACCCAGAAAGTGCTATTTGAAACTACCCTCTATTAATAATGCCTGAAACAAAACTACTGATTTAAAAACTAGGGAGCTTTGGCCTTCTGACAGCAATATTTAAAGGTCATGAGTCCCGGCCTCAGAGTAACCATAGTAACTCAGCATACACAGAGAAATCATGTTGAACAATAATTAAGAAAAGCTTCAGAAAGCCTATTAGCCCTGAGATAAAACAAATTAGAATTAGCCAATATATTTATGAAGCTTGCTTTTATTGCATCTTGTTTCTTACTTCCAGGTTCATGGAGAAAACTGGAAAAAGTTCGTTAAACCTCTATTGACAGGTACTAACAATATGACATAACAGCATGGTAGTTTTGTTGTCGTTGTTGTTATTTTCTTTCTTTCTCAGTGCTTTAAAAGATCGTAAAAATTTCCTTCCTTTTAGTGATATACTGTTATCTGATTTCTGACCTTTTAACTCCATACTTTCTGTGTCAATTTGGAGTAGTAGTCGCTAATGAGTCGATGTGAACAGATGATTTTATTAAGATGGGTTTGGACATACTGCTACTGAGCACCCAGTTCTTAACAGCAGATGTCCTGGGAAAATGCTTTTTTGTTCCCTAGGTTGATTGCATCTGGGCCTAACCCTCCCTTACTTAGACAATTTAGGAGCAAGTTCCCATTCAGTTTATGTAAACTGTGGAGAAGGTCTGTGTCAAGGGCATGAGAAGAGAAGAGGAAGCAGAAGGAGAAGGTCAGGCAAAGTTACACGAGATCAGTCTGTTCCTGCTCAGAAAGGAAGGAGCTAAATTGAACCCACCTAAGGATCAAGAGGGTAGCTTGGTGTTCCCCTGTCTTCGGCCTCAAAAGCCCAGCCTCCGCCTGCACACAAGCTCCATGTGCCAGGAGAACAAAGACACTAACGGTAATTGACAGTGAGAGTACTGTCCTGATTTCCCTTGACTACTGTGGTGACTACACACTGGGCTAGTCATTTTAAAGGGTCAGGGCTCCCCAAGCCCCCCATGTTTGGTAAAGTTACATTTGCCTCTCCAACTGTCTGCATATTCGCTTACATGTTTGAGGGAAATAAGAAGAAAATGAGTGTTTCTAAATTTCATTTGCTTTAACAAACAAAAACACCTTCTCCCTCCCAGAAACATCTTTTGAGGGTCATGGACTCTTTTACATATAGTAACCAACAAGTTTACATAAAATCGTTGGAAACTTATGAATTTCTCACATCATGCATGAACCACAGACCCAAGGTTAAAAGTGAGGCTCCCACATTGACATAAATAAAATATGTTTTAAAACGGAGCAAGCAGAAGCGTGTTTACATGTGAACACCCCACCCAGGATACTACCCTCCAGGAGACATCTCCTTCTACAGAGTAAGCATGGTTGTCTCTCATTGAAGGTTTGAATGAAAATTCTAAATAGAAGTTATTTCCACATTGGAAGGGGAAACAGATATAGAGCCAACATGCAAGTTTTCTAGTGATTGACTGTAAATCACTTATAGGGGTGAAGCATACTTTCATACTTGAGCCAGGGTTGGTTTGTGTTTTATTTGGGGAACTGGGAGAGAAAGAATGATTAGCATTTTTGGTATGTGTATGTCCTGGCAGGACAGTGTGTCAGTGACATTTCATTTCAGTAGTTTGGAAAGAAGATTGGCTCAGCATCTTTGCCCTTCCCACATGGGTAAAAGGGGTCGGGTGGGTGAGTATAATTTTCAGAAGTGCACATGAGGGGACATTTTATTCATTTAACAAATATTTATTGAGACCTATGGTGTGTGAGACCCTGCCCCATGATCTGGAAAGACAACAGCACTCAGGAAAAAAAATAATAATAATAATAAAAAAAACCAGTCACTCTCCAGGAAAGGAAAAAAGTCTGTTTGATATTTTCCCACAGACTTTAAAGGAAGGTTATGTTTGAAGTGAAGGCTGCTGTATCCACATAGTCAAATGATTTTTTTTGAGGCAGGAGGAGCAGAGAACTCACCTGTATGTCTCAAGGGATTCAGAGCCCAGGGCTACAGATGTCTTGCTGTAACATTCTCCCATCTCAAGCCAGGCCCACTGGGATACCCTATCCATGGGACAGACATCAACTATCCCCATCCCTTAGAGTTTTGGAATCCCTGCCACTGCTCTGCTGTCCCTTGTTGCTAGGCAACCACAATGGCCGTGGTAAGGACAGTTAATTTTCCAAAGCAAAAAATCAGTTACAAAGCCACAGTAAGGCCTTGAAACATCTCACAAATCAGATCCAGGCATGAGGACAGATGAAGAATCATCACACAGTCATCATTTCTGGAAAACCCACTCAAAGTGGAATAGAGACAGTGGGTTTGTGCTCAAACCAGGACATGTTTACATCCAGAACCAGTGCTAAGGAAACAGTCACACCACTGTCTGAAAGGAGTGCACACTCAGAAATGGGTTGGCGTGCAAGCAAGCAGTGGGTTCCCTACTGGCCTCTTATTGTGAAGACTTTTCCCGGGGAAGCTTAGACTCCAGATGAAAGACCTCACCCAGCCATCCTCCTATTCAAGCTTCTTTTCTAACAGGATTTACAGAGGTGATCCATTGTGCTGGTCAGATGGTATTCTGCTCATGGTCATCGTTCATCTGTAGCCACTACTCCTTCTTCCCTGTGGCTTGTTTTAGGTCATTTTCTCCTAGACAGTTGTTTTACCTCTCCCTGGAGGCCTTGGTGGCCCCCAGTAAGCCTGTGTCCACTCCGCTTCCTGCTTCTGGCAGGAAGTACCCATAGAAGCTTGCACGGTCTACAGATCAGCACCACTCCTGTGTCCTGAGTTCACCCAACTGACTCACACAGCCTTTATCAAAATAAATTGGGTGGGTATGACAGCAATGTCTAATCACAGAATTTTTTCCCTAGGATTGGAGCATATAGATCAAAGAACTACCACAGCAGTAGGAATTAATAACTGAAATGTCTCCATTAAAGAGTGTAATTAGCATTTGCTCCTTTAATATAACTGCAAGTCATGTAGCCTCTTGGTAAAACAACATGAGTAAATTTTACATGAGTAAAATTAAGAACATTTAGCAGTTGGTGTTCTGAATGAAAAAGCTGACACTTAACTGGGTAGGTGTGGGGAAAAAAAGATTGGGCTACTGGCGTTTCATCTAGATAGCAGCCTGTAGTGGATAAGAAAATCATCTCATCTCTCTATGTTTTAATCTTCTTCCTTTTTAAAATATATTTATTTATTTATATGTAATGCTGAGACTTGAATCCAGGGCCTCACATGTACGAGGCAAGCGTGCTACCCCTGAGCCACAACCGCAGCCCCTAGTCTTCTTATTTTTAAAAGAATTACTTGAACTGTTCCTTACATCCAGATTTAAAATTTGGTTCTGTTTCCTTAACCCATTTTATTAAAAATCCAGAGTGGGTTATACTTTCCTGCATTTTAGAGTAATGTTGGTCTAAAATATTTTATGAAAAGAAGGTCATCAGTGGCTGGTGAAAGGCACTGTAGGCACTGATTATTTATAATGATTATTAATCTTATCATACATCTCACTGATGAAAAAGAGAGGAAAAGAGATATAGCTGGTACAAACAGACTTTTAAAAGTCCTTGAAAAAAAAATGAACTGACTTTTCCATTCTCACTTCTTCATGAAGAAATACTGCATGGGAAGGTTTTCTGGAGATGGTTAAGAAATTATCAGGTTTATTGAAAATATATTGGTCTACAGGACTCTAGAACAAACAGGCTAACTAATGAATGAATGGTATTGCTATTTTATGATATTAAAGAAAAGTACTTATAAATGAAAATCATTTAAATAATCTTATTTTTAAAAGTTAAGCTGAAATTTAAGAAAACTATTCTTAAAATAGTCTAAAGGGAAAAAAAAGATTTATAACAGAACTTCAAGGGATATATGTCAATCATTGGAACTGCCATCATTGATATTATTTGAAACTGGAAAAACACTGAAAGTTTACGGTGGCTCTTATAAACGAGTAAAAAATCTTACTTTGTAGCCTGTCAAATATGTAGGTTTTCTTAGGCTCAGAAATCACATATGTACAGCCGTGTGTTCTTCTATAATTCCAGCAACTCAGGAGGCTGAGGCAGGAGGATCACAAGTTTGAGGCCAGCTTCAGCAACTTAGTGAGACCCTGTCTCAAAATAAAAAAAAATAAATAAAAAGGACTGGGTATGTGACTCAGTGGTTAAGTGCCCCTGGGTTCAATCCACCATAAATAATAATAATAATAGTAATAATAATAATACAAGGAATAACATGTACATGTAACAAGGAGGGGCTTATGAGTTTAAGGAGTATGCATGTTTTGTATGCTCTACTGCTAATGTTTATCAGAACGTCTTTTCAAACTCAGATAAGTCAATATTAATAGGATCATAAAGAATAATAGGAGAAAAACAACGTAGGAATGAGAAAAGAGCAAAACAGAACGGAATGAATTTTCCATGAAGTGGTGTCACCATCTGAAGCCATTGTACATGAGGAGAGGAGAGAAAGCTGCAGTGGAGGTTTCTGGAGTCTCTGCTTGATTCATCTGTCCACTCATCTTCTATTTTGTTTATTTGTTATTTTATTCTACCAACACAAAGTGAAATACCAGTTTGTGCTGGTCATAGTAGTA